CTTACTTTTTTTTCAACTCAGTGGATACAATTTTCATGTATGGGGGTTGAAAATAGAGTTAATGATTTTAAAAATTCTGTGTTTTTACGATGAATTGTTAGAGATAATAAAAAGCCAAAGCAAAGGAAAAACTAAACGTGACAACAAATGAACTTTTGTTGTAAAACTGTTTTTATTTTTTTCATGTAGTTATTTGTTTTTTTTGTTATTGTTATTGTTTTCATCTGTCTGAAAATGATTAATTCATTACCTGATACATAACGATTTCATTGTTGTATTTCAGTGCGTCATCTCCCCAAATGACTCGAACCCTCTTGTGATAATTATTATTCAATATGCATTTGTAGATCCATTTTGATGGTGATCTAGGCAGTTCTTTCAAGCCTTCAATGCTGTCGAAATATCCCGTTATTTTCCTGGTGGGAAAAAAAACAATAATCTTCTTTCTCGAGCACGTGGTGATGAGAGGTTAGGAGCATCGATAAAAGAAATTTTGATAATTTCAAGGATAATCCCCAAAAATACTCACATTATTGTGGCTCCTGCATCAAAATGGTCGATGGCCTTCCTCTTGGTGAATTTAATGACGGGCGATTCAATTGTTTTCACTGCATTACTTTTATTATTTGAAAGAGCTTAAACGATCGCGATGCCACTTTGCATTGTTTTGTCGAATACCGAACGAACGTGAGCTAGCCGCGGGATATCCCGAATTTGACCGAAAGCTCACGATTTTAAAGCTTTGCTGAAAACGGCTGTGGTGGCGCGTCGGTTTCAGTCTTAGGATGACAGTGATTCGAGTTTCGAGATATTTCGAGATCGATTTCCTTTCTCTTTTTTATGATAGGATAATTAAGTGTAGTATCGTCCGTTCATCAGAAATTTATCTTGATTGAAAACGTCACAATGCAAATGTCCCAGCAGATCAAACGGTCCACCTTTCGTAAATACTTGTCGAGAGATTAGGCCATTATTTTTTTTCACATCAGCGCTCACAAATACAGCGGTATCCATACCGCCAGAGGTATCTGTTGACCATAGTGTCATTCCACGATGCGAGGACTTGGCATCTTCTCAATAGTTTAGCAACGGTTCAATATATGCTCTAAAGGCGTTAAGGTTATTTGGCGGCGTAACAACTTTTTGATTGAACTATAAATCCACTTGGTTGAACATTGAATGCAAAAAATTATTCACAGGACCGACGGAATCCTCAACAGTAGCCATCGGGTGTCAAAATTTTCGCTCGAATTTTTATCATAGTGTGTGCTAAATCGATGTATTCATCTCCATGGTCTAGTACGATGAATTCGATTGGGGCGTCGACCGATAGAGTAGACACAGGATTATAATAAACAAATTGAGAATTTTCGATAATTTTCTGCCTCGGGGATATAGTAAACACATCGAGCTCCGATTTCACGCACTCGGAAGAGTGTGAATGTAGAAACTACATGATGAATAGTTGAAAATATCGCATAAATCGGGAGTCTTCCTCTTCGATTTATTTTTTTTTTCACTTTTTTTCCTTTTTTCTTATTTTTTTGAATATTTCTCTTCTTTTTATTCTTCCTGGTTTTGGAGGTCTTGGCAGACCCGCGTCCAGTGAGATGCGAGGCGTTTACGCTTTCTTTTATATCTCGATCCACGCATCATGGACTCAATTTTCTCCTGTGCCTTCCTTTTCAATTTTAATCCCGATTCCGCTAGCTGATCCTCCAGTGCCACCTTTAAGTGTTTTCCGTTTGTTACTACATCGCTGTTATATCCCGAGATGTTACCTGCGTCGAAAGACAAGAATTTTAGTCTTTTAGCTAGAATTTATAATTTAATAAAATGGACGACGCTGCTTTTTTATTCTTACCTGAGGTTGATTTTACTATTGATGGATATGGATTGGAAATTGAATTATAAAGAGAATAGATCAACTTTACACATTTATTTGAATTGATTTTGATTCTTCGTACAATTTTAGAGGTTGAAACATTGATTATCTGTGAAATCCCGCAATCATTACTAGATCTATCTCGTGAATGTTAACAATGGTAATTACTCACTTTGAGTGGGTCTTAATTATATTTCGTGAATTCTTGAGGTAATCCACCACGTTTCTCTGCCAGCGAACGATTGGTACACTATTACAAATACTTAGGTGGAATTCCCGTCTTCCACTTAGTAGTATTGAGTCTTAATTGTTTTTAAAAGTTTGAGCCACACCCACGATTCACCAAGTTCACCACTAATCCTCTCAGATGCAAGAAGCTGTTCTACTTTCGGTTAAAGGAACTTGTATCCCCGAACACTTGCTAATTTATGTTCCCTACTGTTATTCGAGAACACTCCGAATTTCCGAAGATAAGTTCGAACACTAACAAGAGTCGGACCCATTCCAAAAAATACTTCCGCCAAGAAGTCGTAGTTGATTCGCGAGAGAGTTTTCGTGACTGAGGTTTGATTTTTTCGAGGGGCCTCGCCTTACTTGCGGAAAATGGAAATTTATTTGGAGTGGGGGAGATGGCGAGATTTCCGCCTCTTTGGGTTCCTGGTTCATCGACCCGCCTCTGTTGTCGAATTTTGCAAGGTTGCGGTCTTTCGTTTTGCAAGTGTTCCCGAGGAGTGCAATGTTGTGCATTTTTTAGAGGTCGATGTCGGTTGGCATTGATTTTGAAATAGGGTGATTTGTGCATAGTTGTTGATGCGGAAGTGATTGGAATAATCTGGACATTACATCGCCTATAGAGTTCNTTTTGCAAGGTTGCGGTCTTTCGTTTTGCAAGTGTTCCCGAGGAGTGCAATGTTGTGCATTTTTTAGAGGTCGATGTCGGTTGGCATTGATTTTGAAATAGGGTGATTTGTGCATAGTTGTTGATGCGGAAGTGATTGGAATAATCTGGACATTACATCGCCTATAGAGTTCATTTCTGCGTTGAGAGCTTCTTTACCAACTGCTCGAGCTGCACTACCGAGGAAGGGCAAAATTTGACGAAAAAGGCCACCGAGGAAAGCCCCAATTCCATGGCCCCGTAGATATGGGCTCGCAACATAGACGCATCCAAAATTATTGTATCTCTCCACTGACCCTCCACCAGCCTGGCTCGCGTAATATGCAATGTGATGACTCATTTTTCTCGTTAATCAATTCTCTTGAAATGAAGTGTCACGTTCAAGAGTCCGTACTCGAATGGTATCATTTCACCACGATTGCACCTTATATCAATTTCAATTGTGCGAAATGAGTATCTCATCAACGGAATATAATGAGGATTTAAAAAAGTAGCACAGTGTGTGGCGCCATATGTATAACCAGCAGCATTGAATGGTACCACTCGTAAAGGAGATGACTGCACATCACCTGTTATATAGGGTACACAAAAGTTACTATAGATGAACAAGCTATCAAGTAAAGCCCTGGCCAGACTGGTAGGTAGATATCCCTCATAATACGGCTTTGCGTTCGTGAAACGGTGTACGCGCTTCTCGAACCCCAACATATCAGCCCATTTATCCGAAAAGTCCAATGGGTGTACCGTGCTACCGCATGTTTTGGAGGTGCAATGTCTGGAAAGCCCTGAGCCATTCAGTATCACGTTATCTGTGAGTTGGTTATGACAGGTAATCTCAAGTCTTTCTGGTTCAATGGTCGAGTATAGCCATCCCTTGGAGTTGGTCAGTCGCGTCCACTGTGTTTCCAGATTGTTGGTGATTTTCACGTTGCAATGTTGGTAGATTTTAGCTGTTAATTCCACGTCCGTGTTGGTGAGTAGACGGTATTCACAACTGATCCGGTGTAGGCGGTAACACTTCTGTTCCCTTGGATTTTTTGGGGAACCCTGCAAGGGATCATCTTGTATAAGTCCATTGGATTCCTGGAGATGAGTGGTATCTCCATTATTACCAGGAATTTTTGGTCGTGGTATGCCGTTTGTATGTCACTGATCTGGCTCAGCAATGCCAGGTCGACTTTCTCTTTTGTTAGCGGGAAGAGAGTATCCGGAGTTGTCTTCTCAATTTCCTCTGTCACTTTCGCTAGTTGGTTGGCGTTGATGAGGAGGGGGTTCAGCATTCCATGCTTGGCATCTTCTATGGCTAATACGGTTTTGGTGGCTGTTTGAACGTATGTCCGGGCTGCATATTCCGTTTCCTTGGCAATGTTCATCAAGTGTTCGAGATGTTCAGTGTTGTTCAATTGTTGCAGGAATCTGTTAGATTGGATTATCACGTTCCTCATTTCTTTTTCGGTTCTCCTTATTGTCAGAGTGTTGTTCTCATGGTTCTTTTTCATCGTGTTGATCTCCGCTTGAATTATATGGGTTGCATTGCCGATGAGGTGTGTGATTTGTATCTGGTCATTATATATTTTATTGATTTCTTTCGTGATGTGCTCGTAATCGTTGTAATCCATGGTGCCGAATATCTTCCTGCTGATTGACCCGATGAACCACAGGAGGGGGGATCTTCTTGCCCGGGTACGGATGTGCTCTTGCGGCGTTTCTAGGATTTTTAGAAGGTGGTCTTGGGCGTGCCTGAGTTCCTTGTTGTAATCGTTCATGATGGTGGTTCCTAATGCTGTCTGGCATTCGGTCTCGGGTCTTAGTTGACAACATTCCTGGAGGAGTCTGTCAATTAGCTGTGTCCCTGGTAGAGGCGAGCCCGTTAGATTTCCTAGATCGATTGTTATGAGGAGTCGCCAGTTGTTGTTGATCGTCCGTATCTGATCAATTTTTTCGTAGTACAGGCCCAGGTTATGGTTGATTGGGTGCACCTGATATACCCCGGCGCCTTCCATTCCTTCGGTATATATGGTCTATCGCAGTACGGCTCATAGGAAGAGATGCGGATATTTCATCTTGATATTATCTTTCTGTGGACAGCAAGTAGAATTCAGTAAATTTATATGCTTGATTTTCTTAGATGAGGTTGAATGGATAGCCGTTCAATATGTCTGAGGTTGAATGGATAACCGTTCAATATGTCTGAGAGCTTGGCGTTTTATTTGCTGGTTATTGGTCGACCTCTGATCCCAGCTTCGCTAGCTCGTCTGCTCGTTCATTACCATATATTCCTTTGTGTCCTGGTATGTAAATCAGTTGGACATTCAGCTGCTGTATCAGCTGATCTAGTTTTTGTAGCATTTCCTGATTTACTACGGGTTTCCCTTTGGAAGTGAGCCATCCATTAGTCTTCCATTTGGGGAGATGTTGGGTCATGCAGTTGGTCAAGTACTTGGAATCCATGAGGATGGCGATTCTTCTGGTGTCATGCCGTAGGCAGATCTTGCAGGCTTCGACGGCGGCGGCGGTTTCGGCGATGATGTTCGTAGCTCGCGTTCCGTCGAGGGTTTGGTAGGTGTTTAAGGGATGTCTCTCTCCGAACCAGATTCCAATTCCGGCCTTAGCCCTGGCGTCGCCATTGAATGAGCAGGATCCGTCTACGTATACGGGAGTTCTTCCTTCCATCCCCTGTAAAAGGTGCTTTTGTAAGGGATAGTTTATCTGATTATTGGCAGCACCGGCGGTAATCTAATCTTCGCAAGGTTTTAGTTTGTAAGGGTGTTTCATGAAGCGATGCCCGTCTTCGCTTTCGAGGTAAACGTTGCCCTTCTCAGTGATATCCACTATTTCGTAGGGGCCGGTGTATTCCTGAACTAGCTTGCCCAATTTCGATTCCTTTTGTACGTAAGCGAACTGTCCGATTTTCAATTCTAGCGGTCTTGTGTTCCTATCGTACAATTGCTTGGAGTAAAGTTTTGCTTGTTGAAGGTGTTGGTAGGCTAGCTCCTGGATTTTCTCCATTTTAATGATCAGGTCCACTACGTAGTCGTTGTAAGTTTCGCTGCTTCGGTCCTCGTCTTGGATATTTGATGGAAGCCGAACCTTCTTTCCGTATAACAATTCTAATGGAGTGAACTATGTGGCACTATGCACGGTGGTATTGTAGGACAGTATTGCGAATGGTAGTAGCTCGTCCCATTGGTTGGTTTCCGTGGCAAATGCTTTCAGGTATTCCACCAAGGTGTGATGACTCCTTTCTAGGGCACCGTTGGATTGAGGCCGGTATCCTAATGTTGTCACATGATGGAATCGTAGCAGCTTACTCAGGTGATAGAATAGTTTGCTGAGGAAACTGGTTCCTTTATCTGAAAGTATTACTCTGGGACAGCCGTACAGGGCAATATACTGGGTCACCAGGGCGTGAGTAATGGTTTGTGCCTTGATGTCTGTCAGTGGGATGGCAGTGCAGTGTTTCGCGAAATTGTCCTGGATGGTGAGGATATGTACGTGTCCTCTTGAGGTTGGGGGAAGAGGTCCTACGGTATCGATGGATATTCGTTCGAAGCATTCATTTGGTGTTTCTGTTATTAAAATCGGTTGTTTGAATTTTATTCGTCTGATCTTCTGCAGTTGACAAATGCGACATTTCTTGACCATTCGTTCAATTTCCTGTTTCATTTCCGGCCAGTAGAATCTTTCTCTGACCTTGTGGAAAGTGGTAACTATTCCCTTGTGTCCCCCAGGCAGTGTCTCGTGGCATTCCCTGATGATTTCGGGTCTCAGTGGCTCGGGGGGCATTTGAACGTTTCCGTGGTACAGGGTGATGATTACAGGATGAGACTGGAACTCTTGCTCCAGGTAGTATCTGATTCGGATGTCCTCATCAATTGCATCTCCCTTCATTACCATTTTTAGGTCCGTAACCTCATATTTTTCGATTGCTGCTTTTAGGTTTCTCAGGCAGAGTTTCAAGGTTCTGTTCTGCGTCCTATCGAAATGGTATCGTTTTACTATAAGGGTGAAGGTTCTGAATTTTCCAGATTTGGTAACGATGACTTGTCCCAGTTGAGGATTCCATTTCTTGATGTAATCTAGGTCGATCAAATTTAAATCACATAGAAGCTTCGTGTTCTGCTTAGTGAATTCCATGTCGGCCGCCAGGAAATGTGCAATATTTTCCCGAAGGAAGGTTAATCCGTCTCTGGTTTCCTGGATGTTTTTAGCTGGTTGATAATCATCTGGTGGGATGGTCAACTTGTCATCCGGTGGCTCTTCGCTTTCCTCCTCCTGGAGGTTAGGTTCCGGCTGGTCTTCACCAGCTGGATTCGGCTTAAGCTCTCTCCTTTCCTCTTGCGGGTGATCTACAGAGAGTGGTTGATTGAAATAACCTGATTCCGCCCCCGATAAGGTGTCGTTGGTAAGAGTGGAGGAGGGAAGGTCCGTAAATTCTTCGTTTCCTACAGTGCTGGGCGTGACGTCTTCCTCTCCTGAGGAGAGTTATTTGGGAGTTATGACGTCCTGTGTTTCGGTTGTTTTCGGTGGTGAGGATCCGGCTGGTGGATTTTTGATAGCTCTTGGAGTCGGGAGTAAGGATTCTCGAATAATCCTTGGTTCGGAGATTATCGAGTGTCGGATGGGGGGTGATAGATTGACCGCCCCCGATGCCTGTTCCGTCGTGGTGTTGTCGACCTGGTTCGGCTCATCGTTGTGATCTTGGCTGCGCGCTTCTTCTTCTGCCGGGGTTGTGGAATCCTCTTGTTTCCCTTCTCTGGTTCGTATTCTTTCATCGACCTTATCCTTGAACTTGATTATGGCCTCATGTAGTTCTTCAGCCGTCATCTTGTCGCATTTCTCCTTGGAGATTTCATCCATAGATTTGATGAGCGGTAAGGATCGGTCCTCATATTGACGCATCTTTTCGTTGAATTTTTCGTATGACGTATGGAGACTTTTGTGGAATTCTGATCCCAGGTTAAGCTTCTGTTGATTGTAGAAGTTCGGGGGGGACGGAGATTCGAGTTCCTCATCAGGGTCTCCTTCGTCTGGATGGGTCTCTGGATTGTGGCGTTCCATGATCTCGTCGAATTGTCTGAGGCTTTTGTGGAGGCTTTCGTAGTTGAATGGTTCCGAGGATGGATCCTGTTCTTGGTCTAGCTCGTTTTCCAAGTCTGTTAGGGGGTCAGCTTCCAAAATAATCAGTTGATTGGTCGATGGAGTCTGTTCTGAAGTGAACACGTCATCTTCTAGTTCTCTAGTTGAGTCCCCCTCTGCAAACACTTCCAGTTCTGCCTTCTCCGATGCGGTTGAACTTGGTTCCAGAGGATTACTTGTGGATTCCAATATGTCGTTGCTAGGAATAGCCACTTCTTCGGGTACCTCAATGACAGCTTGAGGTGATGAAGCTGAGGCTGGTTGGGTCCCTTGAGGAGCCTCCATGTGAGGTCGGGCTCCGGTTGTTGGAGATGGAGTAGTCTCTTCAAGGGTTTCAACGATTGGTTGAAGACTGTTTGTAGGGCTAGGAGGGGCTTCGTCCATGGGTGGTGACCTTATTGACCTTGCTGAGTTGCGGTTGATGTGAAAGCGATACTCCCTATTGTCTCGGTAGCTGATCTCGGTAGCTCGACTCGGGTCGTCGAGTTGCTTAAATCCATCAGGCATTTTAAAGAGAAGCTGTTTGTGACTACGGTGACTGGTACCCCGTAAATGTATGATCTGAAGTAATTTAGAGCATACACGACAGCTAGGCAATCGACCTCCGCAGGTGTATACCTGGTCTCCGTATCTCGAAGGGTCCTGGAAGCGTATAGGATCGGGTGTTCATCCTCTTCTTCGTCTTTTTGACTTAAAATTGCTCCAATTCCCTTAGATGTTGCTGAGACGCTGAGGATAAATGGTTCGTCCATGTCGGGGTGGAATAACAGGGAGTCCTCGGTGATCACCTTCTTCAGGGCCTCGAAAGCTTTCTCATGTTCTTCGTTCCACTTGAATTTCATAGCCTTCCTCAAGAGATTTGTGAGGCTTTTAGATTTCTCTGCGTAGTCCTCTACAAATCTTCGGTAATAATTGCTGAAGCCTAGAAATCTCTGGTCCCCATGTTAACTGGCCGGTGCCGGCATTTCCCTCAAGGCCTTGACCTTCTTTGGATCTGGGTGGATTCCCTCTTTATCGATGACATGACCCAGATAGGCGATTTCTTTCCTAAAGAAATTGCACTTGTCTGGTTGAAGAGAGAGTCCATCTTGTCTGAGGCGGTTGAAGAGGTTGTTGAGTCGTTTGATATGGTCTTCTTGGGTTTTCGAATAGATAACTATATCGTCCAGGTAGATGTATAGTTCGGTGCCCTTTAATGGAGTGAGAACTTGGTCCATCATTCGTTGGAAGATTGGTGGGGAGTTCTTCAGTCCAAATGGCATTCTAGTGTATTCGTAATGGCCCTCTGGTCCGGTAAATGCTGTTTTTTCGCCATCCCTTTCATCCATGTTTATTTGATGGAATCCGCTACCGAGGTCGAATACACTGAAGTATCTGGCTTCTCCCAGCTGTGACAAGATTGTCGTGATGTCAGGCAGAGGGTATGAGTCTCCAATGGTCTTCTGGTTGAGAGCTCTAAAGTCAATCTCCAATGTTTCCTACCTTGGGAGGCGCACTTCTTGGGAACGATCCATAGTGGTGAATTGTAAGGAGATTCTGAGTCCTTGATGATGATTCGTTCCTTCATAGACTTAATCTGTTTATGATTTCCTCTCGATGTTGCTGGGGATATTTGTATTGTCGTTTGAAGACAGGGACTTCATCCGTTGTTCGAATTTTGCAGGTGAAGTCTTTGGCGTATCCCAGGTCATCTCCATGCAGATGAAACACATCAGGGAATTGTTCTACCAGTCGGATTACTTGTTTCCTCTCGAATGTCTTAAGGTCCTGCTCTGGCAAAGCCTTCAGAATTTCAGCAACTCTTTTGTTCAATAGTTCTTCCTCACAGGTGAGTAGACCTACACTGAGAAAAAAATCTCCCAAAAATTAGTGTGCTGTCCCCCAACGCCGGGACATAACATGGGGTCGTCGAAAAATTCATAAGTGGCACCCTAATTTTTGGTGGGACTCCGGCCACTTTTTCGGGGGATTCCCGTAAAAATTAGTGTGCCACATGCGAATTCTCCGATGACTCCCTGTTATGTCCCAGCGTTAGTGAACAGCACACTAATTTTTGGAATGATTCTCACAAAATTACGATGTATTTTTTTCTCCGTCTAGGTTGCAAGTGGCCATGCGAATCTCGCCTGGTGTTGGTTCGTCTGAAGAAGGCTTAGAGGTTTCGTCGAAAGGTTCAATCAGTTGGGGTGATAATTGTAGTTGGACCGGTTCCTCAGTGGTGTTGATCACCATACCTGTAGCCACGTTGTCTTCCACTTGGACCACCGCTTCTCCCAAGAATATTCCGAATGGTGTANCATGTTTATTTGATGGAATCCGCTACCGAGGTCGAATACACTGAAGTATCTGGCTTCTCCCAGCTGTGACAAGATTGTCGTGATGTCAGGCAGAGGGTATGAGTCTCCAATGGTCTTCTGGTTGAGAGCTCTAAAGTCAATCTCCAATGTTTCCTACCTTGGGAGGCGCACTTCTTGGGAACGATCCATAGTGGTGAATTGTAAGGAGATTCTGAGTCCTTGATGATGATTCGTTCCTTCATAGACTTAATCTGTTTATGATTTCCTCTCGATGTTGCTGGGGATATTTGTATTGTCGTTTGAAGACAGGGACTTCATCCGTTGTTCGAATTTTGCAGGTGAAGTCTTTGGCGTATCCCAGGTCATCTCCATGCAGATGAAACACATCAGGGAATTGTTCTACCAGTCGGATTACTTGTTTCCTCTCGAATGTCTTAAGGTCCTGCTCTGGCAAAGCCTTCAGAATTTCAGCAACTCTTTTGTTCAATAGTTCTTCCTCACAGGTGAGTAGACCTACACTGAGAAAAAAATCTCCCAAAAATTAGTGTGCTGTCCCCCAACGCCGGGACATAA